TGATGGGAATCTACAGATGGACGGTTTGCCCGGATCTGAGTTGCTCTGGAAAAACTCATTAATGCAGCAGCAGCAACATTCGGAGTTGACTGGCATTGACCCACGGCTGCAGCAGAGGATGTCTGCTCAGTTCGTGAGATCGGGCTTTCCTCGGGGCCAGTGTAACAATCGGGGTCAGGCCCTCGATATTAGTAATAATCCTAGGAAGGAGGATTCATGCCAGAAGAGGAAATTAGTTCAGAGCCCCCACATTTCGGCTGGTGGTTTGCCTCAGTCTCCACTTTCATCAAGATCTAGGGAATTTTCCACCGGTTCTCATCAATTTGGAGCTGTTGTGAGCAGTGGACACCTGTCTCAGAAGGAAAAATATCTGGTCACACCGGCTGCTAAACGGAGATCTAATTCTGTACCTAAAACACCTGCTGGAGTTGGTTCTCCAGTTAGTGTGAGCACTATGAGCGTACCAATAAGTGCAAGCACTCCTCCTGTCGGGTCACAGGCATTGGGTGATCAATCCATGCTCGAGAGATTCTCGAAGATAGAAGTGGTGACTATGAGGTATATCTAGAAATCATCTTTTTATCTGTTTATCATATTTTGGTAATTCTAATATCATTTTATTGGTTTTATTGACAGTAAGCACTAGACTACAAGCATTTCATTATGTTTCATCCTTTTCTCTCAGACATTTAGCGTCACTATATTGGTTTCTTGATCTTTTATAACAGTTAGAATCGTGTGCGTAGAGTAAAATGATGTAATGTCTAAAAAGAAATGTTTTCTCAAGGAGCAGTGCGATATCTTCATTTATTTTTCTTTCATACGTGTGTTATCTTTCCCCTGTTTCAGGTGTCAGCTTAACTGCAAAAAGAAAAAGGTGGAAGAGAATCCCGTGAGGAAACCCAATGTTTATTCTGCTCAATATTGATGTCTCATCTCTCTAGTGATGTAATTAGTGAGATTTTGAAGGATGAGACATATAAGTTATCCAAATCCCTGGTTGCTGGCAGCATGAATACTTGCAAGACAAGGATCTTGAATTTTGCCCAGACAGAGCGTATTATCCAAGGTCTGTGCAACTTCATAATATTTTCTATTGGGTTATTTACTTTTTGCAAATTGCATCATCAGGAGTATTAATTAGGTAGACCTTAAGGGTGTGTGTGTGTGTGCCTTGTGAAATATAACTGGAGCTTTTCGTAATTAGGCTAAATGTCAAGGCTAATTTTCGTAATTATTATCTACAACTCCATCTGTATAAATAAGTTAAGCTTGCACTATGTTCTCTCGGCATCTGTCAGGCAATAGCTACAATTTAGTGACAAAGGCTAGAGCGAGGATGATAATGTCTGAGAAAGCGACCGATGGTAATGTTGCGTTTCATATTGGAGAAATTGACGATGCAGATTACTCGGCTGCAGAGGAATATCTTCCAACATTGCCGAATGCTGTAAGTTCTTACATCCGTGCATGGGGATGGTTAATGGCAAAGCAACATTTCAATTATTTCAATATCAGTCCTTGTTATCATATCATTGTGCAGATTTCGTCTCGTAGAACTAAGATTACTTAAATTAACTTTCACATTTATCTCTTGCTATAACCCTACTTTTCCTTCCTTTCATGCTAAGGTATATGGAACTCTCTCTTTATAAACTTGTTACATCTTCCATTTAAAAAAACTTAACAAGTTTCTAGCACTAAACAAATATATACACTGTTTGCCTTCATCAATCACATTTCTATCAGATGTACCTTACAGTACGCTCTCGAATTTGATTTATCAGACATTAGTCGAACATCTTTTCTTGTATTTATCTGGCTGATCATCATCATCATCATGATTTTTCTTCCTCTCCCTGCAGATATCTCCCATAATAAATTACATGATGATTTTTTATTTCTGCAACATATATAAAATTCTTTCCTCCTTGCAGACCCATACCATTCAATTCATCGCGTGCAGCACGTTGCCGACCTAATCGCAGCTCAGTTCAGCTCACTGGTACTCTACAATTGTCCATTTTATGATTTTTTTCTTAAATTTCCTCCTGTACATCGATTATTTATATCCAACATTCAATTACAGCTGGCACGCGAAGGGTATGATGTTAAGGATCATCTCCACCGAAAGCCGCCCGCATAATAAACCTACCCGAGACTCAGCAGTTCTCCGAAGTCGGGCCTTGCGGGTCAACCCGTAACGCACCACAGAACCCGCCGGCCCAGAGAATGCTACCCTCAGGAGTCTCGATTCCTTCCCGACCCCCTGAGCAGCGGCCGCCACCTCAGCAGCCCCAGTTTCCGAGAACCCCAATGATTAACAATTATATATTTGGGCTTTTAGTATTTGTTATGTAATAGTCTTTATGTTTGTAAGTATTGGGCCTTCTTTTATTATGTGTATATTGTACCAGCCCAATAACTCTATAATGCCTTAGTATAAAAGGCAACATCTAGGGTTTGGAAGACACAAGTTGTATTTTTCATTATCTGAAATCGCAGTCCATTTTTCTTTGTTGTTCATCACAGAACACACTTTGTTCATAATTCTCAATGAATCATTCATATTATGGTATCAGTCGCTCAGATTTTATCGATCCTCGTTGATATTGTTCCGCTGCTTCAGATTTTTTCGCTGTTTTGAAATCTCGATCGACGTTTGGGTCTGTAGATCTGGTTCTCGCAACCCTAGATCTGCGAATTCAAGCTTTACGATTTGAGTTTTTCGCTCACGATTTTTCGCTCTCGATCGAAGATTGCTATGGCTACCACAGCACCGCCAACAGACGATCCGTCATCGCCTTATTTCCTACATCCGAGTGATAATCCAGGCGCACTGATCGTCGCTGAGACCTTTAATGGCGAAAACTATGTTTCCTGGTCACGAGCAATTCTCATGGCTCTCAGTGTTAAGAATAAAGCCGGTTTCATAGATGGTACCGTCTCTGTCCCTTCTCTTACTCAATCCCCTATTGAATCTCTTGCATGGGTCAGGGCAAATAATCTGGTACTTTCATGGCTGCTTAACTCTGTTTCTAAGGAAATTCGTCAATCATTGCTTTTCTTTACTACTGCTAAAGATGTTTGGGATGAAATTAAATCTCGCTATGCATTGAGTAGTGGTCCTAGGGTTTTCCAACTTGAAAAATCCCTCAGTTCTATGGACCAGGGTTCACTATCTGTGACTCAATATTATAACTCATTCAAATCTCTGTGGGATGAATACATTACTTATCGTCCTGTCATTCGTTGTACTTGTGGTGCTTGCAATTCATGTACCTGCAATATTTTTGAAGCTATGTCCAATGCTCAGCAGTCTGATTCTGTTATGAAATTCCTGATTGGTCTTAATGAATCATATTCTTCCTTGAGAAGTCATTTTCTGTTGTCTGCTCCTCTGCCCTCTCTATCCAAAGTTTATTCTCTTTTGCTTCAAGAGGAGAGTCAAAGAAATTTACATGTTCCTAACAAAAATGCTGACCATCTAGCCATGCTTCTCAAAACCTCTAATTCTCAAAACAAATATCCCCATTCTCAACCAAAATCCCAAACATTTTCCAAAGACAAGAAAAAGCTCAAATGTCAACACTGTGGTTTCAATAATCATTCTTCTGAGAGGTGTTATAAAGTTATTGGTTATCCACCACACTGGGTAGGTCCTAAGGGTCCCAGAATTCACCCCTCTCATACTTCTGTTAACTCTGTTTCCTCCACACAACCTAACCAAGCACCTCCATCCATTGACAACAACAATCCCAACATTACTGATGATCTATTTCATGAGTTTATTGAATTCAAGAGGTCACAGGCTCTAAAACAGACCACATCTAATCCAACTGCCTCTCAGTCACCTCTTGTTGCTACTGCATACACTCCATCCACCTCTGCAGGTAACCTTCATTTTTCATGTTCTGCTCATACACACTTTGATAAACAAACCTGGATTCTTGATACTGGTGCAACAGATCACATGATATGTGATAAGTCCTTATATTCTTATAATCCTACACCTGTTACTATTCAAGTTAATTTACCTAATGGACAACATACTTCTGCAAGCCATGTGGGACAGATTAATCTGGGGCCTAATCTTGTGCTGCAGGATGTACTGTTTGTTCCTACTTTTGGTTTTAATCTTATATCTGTGTCTAAGTTGACATCTACCAATAACTGTGTTGTGAAATTTCTGTCATCTTATTGCATATTACAGGACATCAGCACCAACAAAATGATTGGTTTTGCTGAAGCTAAGCATGGTTTATATCATTTGTCCTTAAATTTTCATAACCATGTTGCTAATGCCTTTGTCAAAACTGTACTTGATATTTCTGTACATGATAACCCTGTATCCCATGATATACCTGTTCATCATAACCATGTATCCCCTGATACTTCTGTTGCAACTGTATCTTCTCATGACACTGATCTTTGGCATGCCAGACTTGGACATTTATCATTTCACAAACTTTCACAATTACCTATATCAATCAATTGCAAGTATCATTTACATAATCCATGTGATATCTGTCATTTTAATAGGCAAAAGAAATTGTCTTTTCCTGTCAGCATCTCTATTGCTTCTGATATCTTTGATTTAATTCACTGTGATCTATGGGTCCCTTCTCTGTGCCATCTATCTCTGGTCATAAATATTTTCTTACCATTGTAGATGATTTCAGTAGAACCACTTGGATATATCCTTTAATTCTCAAATCAGATACTCATTATTATCTTTAGCACTTTTATAATTTAGTTTTCACTCAATTTAACAAGAAAATCAAGACCATTAGAACAGACAATGGTACTGAGTTTCTTTTGCATGATTTTTATCATTCTCATGGCATTATTCATCAGACCTCATGTGTTGAAACACCTCAACAGAATGGTAGAGTTGAAAGGAAACATCAACATTTACTTCAAGTAGCTAGGGCTATCATGTTTCATGCTCACTTGCCTTTACATTTCTGGATTGATTGCATCACTACTGCAGCTCACATCATTAATAGGATTCCTTCAAATGTTCTTCATGGCAAATCTCCCTTTGAAATTCTTTTTCAAAAGAAACCAACCTATGATCATTTTAAAGTTATAGGTTCATTATGTTATGCATCTACTTTACAAACAACCAGAAGAACAAAATTTTCTCCTAGGGCATCAAAGTACATTTTACTTGGTTATCCCCTTGGTTGTAAAGGTTACAGGCTTTACAATCTGGATACCAAGAACATTATAATCTCCAGAAATGTCATTTTTTATGAACATATCCTCCCATTTCAAAACCCTAAATCCATTAATTCTGACACATCCTCTATAATGTTCCCTATTCCAGAAGATTTCCCGCATGATCACATCAACAACACAACCATACAAACATCTCATTCAATCCCCACCCCTACAATTCCACCACAAAATAATACTATCCATCAAATTCCTGATCCTACCAATCAACCTACAGACAACATAACCCCCACTGTTTCTGACTCTACAACAAGGAGATCTTCCAGAAAAAGAACATTACCCTCTTACCTAAATGTTTACAAACATTCCCTTCCCTCAGCCAGTAATCTTACCTTGACTGAGGATCATGAAGACATTTCTGGAACATCTCAACATCACATTACATATCCCATTGAAGATCATCTCTCAACTGCACAATTATCATCTTCTCATGCATGTTTCACTGCATCTATTTCCACTCTGACTGAACCAAAAACATATAAACAAGCTGTGAAGGATCCTCTTTGGCAAAATGCCATGAACAAAGAGCTACAGGCTCTTGAGGAAACAAACACATGGATCTTAACAGATTTACCACCTGGTAAGCATACAATAGGTTGTAAATGGGTTTTTAATATCAAATATAAGTCAGATGGTTCTATAGAAAGATACAAAGCAAGATTAGTAGCTAAAGGTTATACACAAGAAGAAGGTATAGATTATTTTGACACTTTTTCTCCTGTTGCTAAAATAACCATAGTTAGACTTCTTCTTGCTGTTGCATCTATTAAGCATTGGCATGTGCATCAATTATATGTCAATAATGCATTCTTGCATGGTGATCTCAATGAGGAAGTTTACATGACCCCACCCCCTGGTTATTTGTCTGATTCTTTGCATAGTTCTAAAGTCTGTAAATTGACCAAAAGTCTATATGGCCTCAAACAAGTCTCTAGACAATGGTTTCCAAAATTGGCTACATGCTTATTGCTTTATGGTTTCAGTCAATCCATCTCTGATTGTTCATTATTCACTATGCAATCTGACAATCACTTTCTGGCATTATTAGTCTATGTGGATGACATTATATTAGCTGGTGATGATCTGAGTCAAATAGCAGCTATTAAACATCATTTGGATGCATGTTTTACTATAAATAACCTGGGTCAACTTAAGTATATTTTGGGCATTGAAGTTGCACATTCTGAAAAAGGCATAAATCTATGCCAAAGAAAGTATGCCTTAGATATTCTCTCTGATTCTGGTTTTTTAGCTGGAAAACCTGCCAACACACCTATGGATACCAATCTCAAATTAACATCTATTTCAAACAAATGAGATAAATCCATAGATCAAACCTCTTATAGGAGGCTAGTTGGCAGATTATTATATCTAACCATTACAGACCAGATCTCTCTTATAGTGTGCAGGCATTAAGTCAACACATGTGCAACCCCACTGAACTCCATTTGAGTACAGCACATAGAGTTCTAAGGTACATTAAACAATCTGTGGGGCAAGGTATACTTCTTCCCAGAAATTCTTCTCTTTCTTTACATTGTTTTTGTGATAGTGACTGGGCTGGCTGTGTGGATTCCAGAAAAAGCATTACAGGTTTCATGTTTTTTCTAGGAAATTCTTTGATTTCTTGGAAATCAAAGAAGCAAACCACTGTCAGCAGGTCTTCTGCAGAAAGTGAATATAGGGCCTTGGCTTCTGCATCTTGTGAAGCTCAGTGGCTTCTATATTTACTTTCTGACCTTAAAATCTCACACAATTTTCCAGTGTCTATTTTTTCAGATAGCAAATCTGCCATTGCTATTGCCCACAATCCTATATTCCATGAAAGAACCAAGCACATAGAGATAGACTGTCATCTCATAAGGGAGAAAATTTCAAAAGGCATTGTTCAACTCAGCCATGTTCCATCCAAAGAACAAGTGGCAGATATACTTACAAAAGCCCTTGGTCCTCAGCCTTTTCAACACCTTCTCTCCAAAATGAACATGACAAATATCCATGTTAATTTTGCGGGGGTAACAATTATATATTTGGGCTTTTAGTATTTGTTATGTAATAGTCTTTATGTTTGTAAGTATTGGGCCTTCTTTTATTATGTGTATATTGTACCAGCCCAATAACTCTATAATGCCTTAGTATAAAAGGCAACATCTAGGGTTTGGAAGACACAAGTTGTATTTTTCATTATCTGAAATCGCAGTCCATTTTTCTTTGTTGTTCATCACAGAACACACTTTGTTCATAATTCTCAATGAATCATTCATATTAATGATGCTCCCGTCCAGCTCGATGCAGCAGAACATGACAGGTGGCATGGGGAATAATAGTAATAATAATAACAATCACTGGTCCCTCCAACTCCAGCAGCTCTTGCAACAACAGAGGAAAATGGTCGAGCTCGGGAGTGTAGGTGGCATAATAAATGGATCCCATCAGAGGTGGGGCTCGCCGCCATCCGAAACCGAACCCTCACGCCGAACAGGCCACCACGCTGATGAAGTTGAAACTGCAGCAGAGCCGGGCGGGCTTGAGCATGAACATGAACATGAACATGAACATGAACTTTAACATGCTCGGGGGCCGCAGGCCTTTGGGCAGGTGGGCCCCACGCTGGCCCGGACCGGAATGGTCCAGATGGGCTCGCCGGAGCTGATGCCCGGGCCCATCAACCCTACATGAACCAGCAGCAGCAACAACTGTATTTACAACAACAAATGCAATTACAAGAAACGAATTTGCCACTGCAATTGGTTGTTTCGGCCCAGTTGAGCCCAGCAACTGAGCTCAGGGCCCAATGCCATGCACCAGATTGGTGAGGTGGCCAACCCGGAAGTCGGTCTGGCGAACCCGCAGACGATGGGCTAGGTCGGGAGCATTGCAAACTCCCCTATGGACATGCCGGGGCGTGGATAAAAATTAACTCTTTAGGGATTTGTTTTTTTGCTAGTTTGTATTTTGAAAATTGATGGGTTATATTTGTGTAAATCGTGTAGTTGAAGATGGTTGGAGGTCTGATAGAGTGGGAGGAAGCAAGAAAGTATCTTTGTCTGGGTTCCAACCTTATGCTTGTAAATCATAACTCTGATATTTTAGGTGGTTTGGTGTTTGTTACGTGGGGATAGGTATATATGTTCAGAAAAGACGACTTGTTTTTACTCAATCTGGTTATCAAACGAAGCAGTATAGTTAAAAACTTAGCTTATAAGCTACTCCCTCCTATTTTTTTTAAATGTCATTCTAGTTTTATCAACTATTTGCTAAATAAATGTCGTTTTAGATCTTTTTTATATATTTTTCCATTATTACCCTCATTTAGCTAATAAATACATCACTTCTTTTCATAATCACTCTTCATTTTTTTCTCAAAACATTCATCTCTATCTTCATTAAATAAAGTTATTATTGACAAAAAATTTTCTTAATAGATGTGCAACATCCCAAAACGACATCTATTTAAAATAGGAGGTAGTAATTGATAGACTTCGAGCTTGCGAGCTTAGAGTTGATATCTTAGGATTTATGGTTGAAAAAATTAACTTCTATGATAAAAGTGTTAAGTAAAAGTAGTTGATGGACTTGTTTAAATAAAAAATTTAACGGACTTATTTAAAAAATTACCCAATGAAGCTTATGAGATAAATTCAATTTTTTAAAAACTTTCTAACCTTCCAAACCAAGCTTATGCAACAATTGTTCCAAAAAAAGGGGGTAAAAAAATCGAAAACTCTAAGAAGAGAATGATAACTTTATATTATCTTAGGTAAGATTCGACACAGGCCAATATTTTGCAACCATAGAAACCAGATGGAACGATTTGAGCTTGAGTTTCAACTACTCAAGCTGAACTAAATTTGGCTCGTTAACTGTACGAGTCAATAAATGAGTTTGACTTAGTTTCTTCTCAAAATTAATGAGCCTAGAAGCTGAGCTAAGTTTGAGTCGTTAACTATACGAGTTATCAAACAAGCTCGAATTCGGTATCAATATTAACAAACTCAACTCGAGCTCACCTCGTTTATCTAATGCGTTGAGTTGAACTCACAATCGACTTGTAAGAGCCATCCCATCCCAATAATCAACTACTCCCTCCATTTTGAAATATAAGACATATAAGAAATTCTTAAATTTTTTGAAATATAAGGCGCACATCAAAACCAAGGCAAATTATTCCATTTTCTCCCAAATATACCCTCATTTATAGCTGCAACCATAACAATAAATACATAGTGATTTTTAATAAATAAAGTTAGTTTAATCAATTTACTTAAAAATTAA